TGGGGCTTCCAAAGATATTCTTGGAAACGGACCACAAATCACTTCTTCAGATATTAACTAGTAAAAATTTAGACGAGTTGACACCTCGATTATAGCGGTTTCGAATTCGTTCGATGCGATACACTTATGATGTTACTTACATTCCTGGGAAAGACCTAGTAATTGCGGGTGCATTAAGTAGAAATCCCTTGAAGTATACAGGACCGCAATAATTGGACTATGAAGTTGAAGCTCATGTGTCATAAATAGTTAAAAATTTACCAATTGAAGATGAATTTCTGCGTGAAATTTTGGAAGAACAAAATAAAGATAGAGTTTGTAAGATGTTGATTGAATATTCTACAACTAACTGGCCTGATAGACAGATCTTATGCCCAGAATTGAGTGCTTATTATCAATATCGTAATGAAATTTCTGTTAATGAAAATTTTTCGCTTAAAGGTACGCGACTCATCATTCCTCCCACATTGCAGAAACAAGTTCTAGATTTGGGACATCAGGGAATCTCAAAATTCAGAGAGAGAGAGCAAAAATGTCCGTTTGGTGGGTGGGGTTATCTACTCATTTAGAAAACATGATTCGTAACTGTCATAATTGTGTTGAAGAAAGAGTCAACATCAAGGAACCATTTTTTGAAGATGAATACGCCGTTAGGGCCTGGCAAAAAGTAGCGATGGATCTATTCAAGTGTAACGACATTTTGTATTTGATTATCACAGATTACTATTCGAGATATTTTGAACTGATTCCTTTGAAAGAAATGACTCAAAAAGTAATCATTTTAAAAGTCAAGGAATTATTTGCTCGTTTCGAGATTCCTGAATTGGTGAGAACGGACAATGGTCCGCAGTTTCGATCAGACTTTGAAATGTTTTCAAATGAATTCAATTTTGAACATGTTTCATCAAGCCCTCACTTGCTCAGGCTAACGGGGAGCGGAAGCCGCGGTTGAAGTTGCAAACAGTTCAATAACAAAAAAATAGGGACTTGTCTATGGCATTATTGTTCTACAGGTCCACTCCCTTGCCAAATGGGTTTAGTCCAGCTGAATTGCTGATGTCGAGAAAGTTAAGAACAGCGTTACCGATTCTACCGAGTAAATTTCAAGAAGTAGTAAATACGCAATCTCGATTGAGACCGAGGAGAGGAGGAAAGAAAATCTTAAATGTGATTTTGATAGAAGGCATAATGCTAATGAATTGTCAGAGCTTTCTCCTGGTGATAGTGTTTGGATCACTGATCTGCGTTGTTATGGAAAAGTGGTTAAGAAATTAGATGAACTGCGATCATATCTTATTGGACCAAGTAGTGGTCATTTTCGACGTAATCGTTGGTTTTTGGTTTTAGCCATACGCACATGTTCACTCTAGCAATCAAACCAAAACAACATTACCAGAAACGATGCTTAGTACTTCACATGTTAACTTATAGATAAGGATAGTTATAAAGGCACTCGTAAGTGTCAAAAGGATTCTGTGGAAACAGAAACATAAAGGGCAGGTTCAAATTAAAAAGCCAGACATATTAGCTCTTACTGAGACACAGGTCAATTCATCCACCAATACGACCTATCTGCTCTGTCCTGGGTACGAACCCCACACAAGTTTAAGATTCAAGAGAGGTATCTGCCTCTACTCTAAAACGAATCTCTCATTTCAACGAGAAAAAACTTTGTCACCAACTAAGTTTGATGTCATGTGGTTCAAACTCGATAGACAGAAACATACCAAATACCTTTGTTGTCTCTACTTATCACCAAATGATCCATCCTATGGAGAGCTCGTCGAATTTTTGTCTCTGAAGCTTGACCAAATTCAACAGAACCATCCAGCAGCAGAAAGCATCATCGTGGGCGATTTCAATGTACACAACACTGCTTGGCTCGTACACTCTAACAGAACGGATGGAGCTGGGCGACAAGCCGAAGCTTTCGCCATCACTCATGGCTTAGAGCAGCTTATCAAAGAACCCACACGAATTCCCGATGCCAATAACCATTCAGCTAACATACTTGACTTATTCCTCACTAATAATTTAGCACCCTACACCATAGATATACGAGCTCCACTTTGCAATTCTGACCACACACTCATCTTCACAACCTGCCCATTCTTCATTACATCAACTCCTCCGGCACCCCCACGTCTTATATGGCATTACAACTCAGGAGATTGGGACGGTCTCTGCATGTTTTTCTCCGAGTTTCCTTGGCTTAGAGTATGCTGTGACTCTGAGGACCCTTCACAGTGTGCTGCGAAAATATCCGAGATCATCATGCTCGAAATGGACACATACATACCTCATTCTTCGAAAAGATCATCACCATCGAAAACCTGGTTCAACAAAAACTGTTCTAGAACTGTTGCCTTGAAACAAACAGCCTACCATCACTGGCGCAAAAACCCTAACCTCGCGCGACTAGAGCAGAATACGTTGATGCAAGGAATAACTGCAGCCAAACAATAAATGCTTCGGAAGAAACATATAATGCCAAGATAAGATTGAAACTGATAGATTGTCCCAATGGCTCCCGTTCGTTTCGGTCCCTTGCTAAAGCAGTCGGAAGACATTTCACTAATAGTTCATTTCCACCACTATCCAAATTCGACGGCACATTAGCAACAACATCGTAGGAGAAAGCCAATATTTTTGCAGAGATGTTCGCAGCAAACTCTACTTTAGATTCCCAAGGAAAAGTGCCGCCAGACATTCCACCGGTTGAGAGTCGAATGCCCGAAATCGTCTTCCGTCAACTCACTATCAGACGAATTTTGCTTGGTCTCAAAACGAAGAAGGCTAACAGTCCTGATGGAATTCCACCCATTATCCTCAAAAAATGTGCACCAGAATTAACACCGATTCTCTGCAAGTTTTTCACCGTCTCCTACAGTTCAGGTATTTTTCTATCATGCTGGAAGACAGCTAGAGTCCAACCAATCCCCAAAAAAGGGAACGAGAACCTGCCCAACAACTACAGGCCCATTGCCCTGTTATCAGTAATCTCCAAAGTGATGGAGAAAGCCATCAACATAGAGCTTATCAAATATCTGGAGAGCTCAGGAATCATCAATGATAGACAATACGGCTTTCGCCGCCGAAGATCTACTGGAGATCTACTTGCCTATACGTCACCCATTTATGGCAAGCTTCATTAGAAAAACACGGGGAATCTCTAGCTGTCGCGTTGGACATATCGAAAGCATTTTACCGTGTTTGGCACGAAGGACTCCTCCACAAACTACCATCATACGGCTTACCACCTCAGCTATTCCATCTCTTATCGAGTTTTCTTTCAGGCAGATCGCTGCATGTGGTGGTGGACGGTGTATCGTCTGATACCATTGGCATCAATTCCGGCGTTCCACAAGAATCAATTTTGGCACCAACATTATTCCTTCTTCATATCAATGATCTGTTGGGACTAACAACATGCCCCATCAAAGCTATGACAGTACCCTCCATACTGCGTTCTCTTCCAGAATTCCCATTTCTCCCCAGGAAACTAAGAACTCACGGCGCAGGCAGGTCAATGCTGACAATGAAGACCTTGCTGAAATCACAGCCTGGGGAACCAACAACCTAGTTGAATTCAACGCCACCAAAACTCAAGCCTGTATTTTCTCTAGAAAGGCGGAACTCAGTATGCCCGACATTGTAATGTCTGGCACCACCATCTCCACCAAGCCCACCATATCCATGCTCGGTATTTCCATCAGCAACACTCTTTCATGGGATAATCATGTCAGATCCATCGCAAAAGCTGCTTCACAAAAACTCGGATTCTTGTTCCGTGCGAAAAGCTACTGTGTACACCTCAACAGCTTCCTATGATCTACAAAGCGCAGATACGACCTGTTCTAGAATACTGTTCCCACATATGGGGTTCAGCACCAAAACATACGCTGATGCTCTTAGATTCCATCCAGAGAGGAGCCATCCGCCTGGTGGGTGACGCCACACTCACTCACTCTTTGACATCATTGGAACACCGTAGGAAGGTCGGCGACCTTTCATTTTTCTATCGATACTTCCACGGGATATGTGCTTCGGAAATCTCTGCTATCACCCCTTCACTAGCAATACCAGTCAGACGAACTAGACAAGCCCAGTCAGCACATCCTTTCGTTGTCAACCTCGAAAGATGTCGAACAGCACTTTATCAAAACTCCTTCGATCCACAGAACGGCTAGGATCTGGAATTCATTGCCTGAGGAAGTATTCCCAACAACATATAATCTCCAGAAGTCCAAAAAAAAATCCAATACCTACCTCCTATCCCTATCCTCCCTAGGAACGCACGATGTTCTTTGAACATTATAGGGATTCCCTTTCGTGCGCTCCAAGCGATAAAAAAAGTGAAATTGTTCCAATCAACACTCTACACTCTACTAACACCTAAATGTGAAAGTAAAATAAATAGTCGGCCAGAGCGAAATAGAGCTAAGCCTAAATGGTTGGCTGATTATGTTTAAATCTGAAATGAGTATACTGTCAACTCAGGGTTAGGTATTAAAAGGAAAATATATTGATAAAGAGGGAAAGATGTTGTATAAGCGCTAGATAATACAGAAAACACCTACAGGATTATACAGAGCTCTTCTTATTATTAGTCTAGTCTAATAATGTAGATGGCGTTACCCATATAGCTGGTATACACAGCAACGTAGCGGGTAGAGGGGGTTTCGGAGGTTAGGACACAGTAGAGAGCTTACAGAGCTCTGTGAGCTCTCTACTGTGGTTAGGATTAGGATATCGCCGGTTGGGGCCTGGATGTCGATACTTGTTTCAGTATTGTTTGTTGCTGATAAAAGCTCACTATACAGTATCCAGCGTTGCTGTTACTTCTGAATATTCCTTATTTTCTGATTTTTTCCATGAAACTGTCAGTTATTGGGTGTATGTCAGAAATGGGTTTCATTACCTTATGAAGTTTTTCATCAAATGTGTGAATCGTAAATTTTGCAGTGTAATTTTCTCAATTTAGTATACTTGTAATATACTTGAACCTAGTACAATTTCTGAATGCCTTCTAGTACAAATTGAAATTCTGAAACGGCAACACTGGTCACGAGTGTCACGACTCACGGTTAAGGTTAATTAACCTGAAAGTTTGTTTGTTGTGATTTCTGATTTGATCATATGAATTTATCAAGTGTTTTCCCACTTTCCCAGTGAAGTGAGGGTATTTATTGTTGTTATTATTTATGAAGCGGGTATGGAAAACGTAATTAATGTTGCTGACCGATGTCGAGCCTGTCTAAGTATTGATTGTACTCTCACTGCCACCGATTCTCCTGATACTGATTCCATTAAATTTTTTGATAAACTTTCAGCTTGTGTTTCCGAAGTGGTAGGTCTAGACGTACATAGTGAATCTGTTGTCATCTTCCAAACATTTTATTTTGAGTTTATCAACTGATAGGTAATTTGTGTTTTTTGTAGTCTTGGTTGAAACAAGGGTTGCCTTCCCTCATATGTGAAATCTGTATTGACCATTTGAGAGTGGCATATGACTTCAGACTAGTGTGCTTGCAGTCTGATCAAACTCTAGAGAGATATCTCAGTTTACCTGATAGAGATTCAAAACAAGAAACCAACACTAGACAGCTAAGTACTCCAACAAAGTTTGACTTTTCTGTTGGCACTACAACAGAAGAAAACCTGTCTATAATAGAAGAGGAGCCTCAGAATGCTGAATACATTCATCTCAAACATTTTTTGGATAATGATGAAGAAGCGTCAAAGTCTGATCTCCAGTCAGAACAAGAACTTGAAGGCAATGATTCCAGAAGTAGTAGCCCTGACCATGATGAAGACGCAGGTCCACTTCAAAATAAAATAGGTTAGTTTCAAAGTGTGTACTTACTTATGTCGAGACTTATGTTCAGGGTGAACAATCATGATTTGGAGCAATATGAAGAAGAACATTCACTTTATTGGACATAAAAAAATACATTATGCTAAATGGCTAATCACCAAAGTCCTGTCAGTATATTCAAAATAATTTAAACTATTCCAAAAGCTCTATTTGAGTAGTGACATTAGGAAGTGAAATATGAAAAAAAAGTGCATATTGTGCATTATTAGTCTATCTGTTTGTCTGGAGAGTGAATCATCAGGGCTGAATTGGTAACTTTCCACTTATCATGTCATGGTTTTTTTTTTGAATTCTTTCTCTACTTTGTATTTTTGTCAGAAAAACATGAATTTGATAATGAACCATTATTGGGTTTTAATTCTAAGGAATGTGCCATCTGACTGCATATATCAGGGCATATATTATGTGATCATCAAGTGTGATTATTTGGTAGTAGTATTGAAGATTATAATTATTGTTCATTCAATTGTGTGACTAATTATTATATGATTATTTGTTCATACAACCCTATATGGCAGAAACATATCTGAGAGTCGTTCTGGCAAAATTATTATTTTGACATATCACACTTGGCATCAAAAATATCATATATTTGACAGAATGACAACGCGGGAAACTGAAGGTTTAAATCCCAATTTATTGAGAATTTGGTAATTTTGCACTTATCATGTGATGTTTTTTTTTGAATTTTTTTTTTGGTACCTACTTATGTATTTTTGTCTGAAAAACATGAATTTGATAATGAAATGTGAACAAATCATCATTTATTAAGATATTTCACTTTGAATTTACAAATGTCACCTTCTTTTCCACCTGTTTTCTGCATCACATTTAGAACAATTGGCCCTTCTTTTTCCATCATTGGACAATTTTTATATATCACAATGTATGAGACATTCTCATTATATGAGTCAACTAGAAATATGAGTTTCTTGTGATTTATCTGTTTAGTGAAAAGAAGGGAGAATATAATTTAACATAATGGCCTGTATAATGTCATTCAAAAGCAATCTGTTGACATTTGACTTGTTCACTAAGTATGGAAAACTCCTAAAAAATCATATTTCCTTTTGAATTTTCTATATGAAAATGTGTCATTGAAGTACATCATGGGTATATAAAGTGTCCAATCTTTTTCTTAAAATATCTCAATGAATAGTGGTTTGTTCACATTTTCATTATCAATTTCATGTTTTTTCAGACAAAAATATATAATAACCAAAAAAAAAATTGAAAAAAAAAACATCACATGATAAGTGCAAAATTACAGATATTTTACTATAAAGTTACAAATTTCACCTTCTTTTCCCCCTGTCTTCTGGATCGCACTTGGAGCAATTTGCCCTTCTTCTTCCATCATTGGACAATTTATGTACAGGTATTAAAAAACAAGCATACATGTGTATTGACAGGAGAAATTAACTTCATCCTATTTGCCTAAAACAGGCTATCGGGAATGAATGTTTATCAAATGTTGACAGTAGAGTAATCATAGGTTCCCAAAAACACAAAGAATTTGCCGAGCCAATTTTACACAACGAGAACTAGAATGCCGAAATCTTCTATGTTCAATACTTGTATGCTTTTTTATGTATGACACATTTTTTCCAGCATTTTTTTCTATTTTCTTGTGATTTATCCATGTTTAGTGAAAAGAAGAAAGAATATAATTTAAATTAATGGCATATGTAATGTCATTCAAAAGCAATCTGTTGACATTTGACATCTTGTATTTGGTTTGACTCTTGATTAAATGGCCATCATCTGGTATGCTTGTTCACTAAATATGAAAAACTCTATAAAAATCATATTTCCTGTTGAATTTTCTATATATGTATATATACAGGGTGTTTCATAATTGAATGTCAATATTTGGGGACGCAATTCTTGGGCCCATTCTAAGAAGAAAGTTTCATATGAACGTATGACCTAAACATCCTAACTTTTGAGATACAGGGTGGTGAAGTTCTCAAAAATTAATAGTTTTTTATTAATATCTGTAATACCACTTCAGATATTCTGATGAAATTTGGCATACATGTACTATGTATCAAGAGGCATCAGTTAGCGTACCACATTTTTTGTTGTTGCCACCAGTGGCGTTCGTATGGAATTTCACATACCTATTTTGGCAGACATTGATGGTACGCCACTGATTAATCTCCAAATTGAAATCATTCCTGAAATTCCCGATCATTTCTAAGCAAATTTGATCACTACAATTTTTTCAATCTGATGCACGGTTTTCGCTTAAAAATAAAAAGCTTTTCACTACATGATTATAGTAATATTGTTAATATGATAATATCACAATGCAGAGAAATAGTTTTTATTTTTAAGATCAAATTTCAGAAATACAATTCATAGTTCATGAACTTTGTATTCGTATTTGGTATTTTCGAATTATAACTTCTCATTGTAGTAGGCTATATTAATTTTCGAGAATTTTACCACCCTGTATCTCCAAAGTTGGGACGTTTAGGTCATACGTTCATATGAAACTTTCTTCTTAGAATGAGCCCAAGAATCGCCTCCTCGAATATTGACATTCAATTATGAAACACCCTGTATATGAAAATGTGCCATTGAAGTACATAATGAGTATATAAAGTGTCTCCTAAAGAGTTTAATGACAAAATAAGACAAGCAAGCTGTAAATGCATCCAACACAAAGGAAAAAAGATGGCGAAATTTCAAACTTTTTCTTGAAATATCTTGATAAATAGTGGTTTGTTCACATTTTCATTATCAAATTCATGTTTTTCAGACAGAAATATATAAGTACCAAAAAAATTAAAAAAAAACCTCCACATGATAGGTGCAAAATTACCACTGAATTTTGGAATTAAAGTTCAATCTGGAAACTAAGTATGAAATAACTATTTGAGATACCAAAGTTCCTTTTTAAAAACAATTTATTTCAATATATTGGTTAAGACAAGGTTTTCGAGATGTTGATCGTACGAATATCAAAGTCTGACTGACTGTGTGAATGCCGCAAAGTGGGAATCTCACGAGAGGGATTCCAGGAAAACTGCAAGACACAGCATCGGCGACTCAGCATTTTCTTATGGGAATCTTAACGGCTGGCGATGTAATTCCTCCCCTCGAAGATTCAGTTACAGAGGGTTAGCGAGGTAGCTGAACGTCTTGGTGGTTGACTTCAGGTGGTGGTTGTCTTCGGAACTTTGGCAACAATTCCTTGTAACCAGCATATAATCCTATTATCGATGTCTATACCATCGGATTTGTTCATGGTTTTTGCTTCATTTGAGGAATGTTTTTCCTGATTTGGTTTATTTTCATTCCATTGAGATAGTTTGCATTCCAAGAAATGAATCTTCTCGTTCAGTAATATAATTATATGTTCCTTATCTTTGATAATTGTATCTTTATCCGAGATGATTTGTTTCAACAGCTTATTTTCCTCAGTTGAACTACCATCATGGATGTTGTTTGTTTCACTTGATTCCCCGGATACCTCGGCTTCATGTTTGCATTCTGTTTTTTTCAGCTCGCTTGACTGTTTCAAACAAGCAGGATGGTAAACCTCCATGCATTTGATACACTTCACTTTATTTATAACTTTTTTTTGACAGTGTTTACACTTGTTATTTTCATTTTCACAGAGCAGAAGTGACGAGCCACTTGCTGCTTCCGCCATCAATGACAAAACTCATGATAAAGGAAATTGCCTAGATAATATTTTCAGTAACAATGATTCTGTCACAGCGTATACTATACTTGTCGGACTATCTGATCATCCCGTAGGTCTGGTGGCTAACACAGATATTCTGGATTTAAACATTGTCAATGAGAAATTAGTTAGGAAATATAACACAAGAAATATTAATACCTTCAACAATTATGTGAAATCTGAAAGCTGGGTCGAAATATACGAGATGGACAAGGCTGAAGAAAAGTTCCAGATATTTGAAAACACATTCATGTATTATTATAACATATGTTTTCCACTTATGAAAGAGAAACCTAAAACTAAAAATGATAAAAGATGGATTACTCCTCAGGTAGGGTCAGCTAAAGAAACACTGATGTTTTTTTATGAAGCTCAGAATCAAAATCCTTCAGAAAAAAACAAACTTTTATATAAAGAATACAAAAAACACTACCAAAATATTCTTGAAAATGCAAAAAGAGAGTATTATCAAAATCTCTTACTAAATACTGACAATTATAGTAAAACGGTGTGGCAAATCATTAATACTGAAACGGGCAGAAAAAATAAACTATCAAACAATCCTGAGAATCTAACAGTTGAACAAATGAATGATTTTTTTATCAATAACATGAATTCTACTCTGGAAAACTACCCTCAATCTCAAAACAGTCCTACAGTCCTGCTTGAAAAAAAGTATAATATAAACCACTCAATGTTCTTCAGACCAGTTACCAGGGATGATGTAAGAATAATAATAAATAAACTGAAAAACAAAAAAACAGAAGATATAAATGGAGTGAATACTTTCGTTATCAAAAGTTGTAAAACTCACATAATGGATCCTCTGACGGATATAATCAATTCATGTTTTATCGAAGGACATTTTCCACATAAGCTGAAAATTGGCAAAGTCCTCCCTATTCACAAAAAGGGTAATTATTCTGAAGCTGTTAACTTCAGACAAGTGTCTATTTTACCATCTCTCTCAAAAATTTTTGAATATGCTATATACTCACAACTAATGGATTTTATGGAATTAAATAATATCCTGAGTCCACATCAATTTGGCTTCAGAAGAGGTAAATCAACCTCAGATGCAATAAATTCGCTCATCAGCTATATAAAAGATGCGTTCGAAAATAGAGAAAAATATATCGGCGTTTTCACAGATCTTACTTCAGCGTTTGATTGTGTTAATCATCAAATCCTCCTCGATAAATTACATTTCTATGGTGTCAGAGGTGTTTGCTGTAAAATGATAAAATCATATTTAGAAAAAAGACTC